CTTTGGTGCTTTAAACATAAGCATGAAAAGGTGTATTTGACTTTTAAAAAGTGGTATGAGTGCTATTTTTATGTGATATTAAAGATTTTACGGTTATGTATTTAAATATGAAAGTTTAGGTGTGAGATAGGTAAATGCATAAGAATTGTGTGTTACGTATGTAATTGCCCTAGAAAGTAAACGGAGATGCATAGGGCCTCCCATCAAATCTGTTATTAATATTTTGTAGATCAGTTAATGCCATAAGGATATGTTATGTGTAGGCAAGCAGAGCTTAAGTAAAGATCTCAAATCAGAGGTATTTTATTAGGTGCAATAAGAAATTTGATGTTAAATAGAACAATATTGACTTCAGTCCTGAGAGATGTGTTTGCAAAATGATAATTAATTAGAACATAAACAGAATATACAATAAATAAAAACATCTATTATCCATTATTATCAACACATGCTAAGAGCTTCACATGAAATTACCTGGTATTGAACACAGATCTATCGTTAGCTCATTGAACTACAAGTGTCAGCAGTGCCATCTAATATATATGTAGCCTGCTTTTGAAATTTAATCATTATTCGTGAGTCATTCTTGTTACGAATAATATGTGGTTCTATAACAATATAAAAAACCTAAAAGTAATACCTTTTAACCTTTCCATCTGATCCTTTCACATTATCTGTTGGTGGCATCCAATGCCATTTTATACAATTTTAAAAACCTTAAATTATGTTGGAAAGTGCTTGGAAAATACTATAGTAAAAAATTACTATTTAGTAAATACATTTTTACTACTAATTTATATCCTCATAATTGATTATAATGTTCTCCATGCTACCTTTCTTTCATATTAGTCCTCCTGGGCGAAAGAGCCTAGAAATTGAGCAATAAGTTCTTGTAGATATTAAGAAATGAATGTGATATGTATTAAAACCCATAATAAATCAATAATCTGAAAGACTTTTCTCTTCCAATATGTCAACAGAGATGAGTTAATTATAACCATGTCGGGTCCTCTCTCGTTTCGATCAAGGTTTCTGCTTCTAGTTCATACCCCTAAAGCTACCACTCATATGAAAGTTGATAGCATACTCACCGCACTGCTTAGCCTAGCTTCGACCCAATAGAAGTTCCTTTTTGTTTGCATCCCCATTGCGCCACATACCATGTTTTGTGTACACCTCTTCCCCACTCAAAACTCAACATTTGAGCTATTTTAGTTGCCATCCCACCCCCCCCCCCTTCCACATCTCTCTAGCTACAACATGTCCACCCACAAAGATTCTATTTTGCATCATGTACTTTTTTCTTATGTTGCCTTAAGAAGCACCTTCACCGTGCTACAACTCATTTGTTGTCGATCATTAATCGTCAATAGTTAATCGCTTGCATACAACAATTCATTGCAACAATCTTTTGCACGTAACACATTAACCCCCTTCAATTAGAAGCATTATCTGTTGGTGGCATCCAATGCCATTTTATACAATTTTAAAAACCTAAAATTATGTTGGAAAGTGCTTGGAAAATACTATAGTAAAAAATTACTAATTAAAAAAATACATTTTTACTACTAATTTATATCCTCATAATTGATTATAATGTTCTCCATGCTACCTTTCTTTCATATTAGTCCTCCTGGGCGAAAGAGCCTAGAAATTGAGCAATAAGTTCTTGTAGATATTAAGAAATGCATGTGATATGTATTAAAACCCATAATAAATCAATAATCTGAAAGACTTTTCTCTTCCAATATGTCAACAGAGATGAGTTAATTATAACCATGTCGGGTCCTCTCTCGTTTCGATCAAGGTTTCTGCTTCTAGTTCATACCCCTAAAGCTACCACTCATATGAAAGTTGATAGCATACTCACCGCACTGCTTAGCCTAGCTTCGACCCAATAGAAGTTCCTTTTTGTTTGCATCCCCATTGCGCCACATACCATGTTTTGTGTACACCTCTTCCCCACTCAAAACTCAACATTTGAGCTATTTTAGTTGCCATCTCACACCACCCACCTTCCACATCTCTCTAGCTACAACATGACCACCCACAAAGATTCTATTTTGCATCATGTATTTTTTTCTTATGTTGCCTTAAGAAGCACCTTCACCGTGCTACAACTCATTTGTTGTCGATCATTAATCGTCAATAGTTAATCGCTTGCATACAACAATTCATTGCAACAATCTTTTGCACGTAACACATTAACCCCCTTCAATTAGAAGTTCTTGCATCAGTCGTTGTTCTTCCCATTATCACATGTGCTCAGTGCTTCCTACCTCCATCATGCAATGAGTCTTTAGTGATAAACAATCATTGTCAACTCAGAGCCTGCCTACAATAATCCCTTGCATCACTTCTTTGCACATCACACATTGGCCCCCCATCTTTAAGAGCTCTTGCACTCACTTATCAATCCTCCAACCAACACGTGCTCAGTGATTCCTAGTATTGCTCATCCCTCTTTAAAGCCTAATATCTCTAACTATTCAACAAAAGCAAACTCCTTCCCTGTGGCCCTCCTCAGTATGATGAGAGAACTCAATGGTAGTTTTCCTAGGGTATTTTAGGTTTACTTTAACTAGATTTCCTCTAATATTATACCGATAGTCATTTGTGTTTAAGGTCAGCACTTCCTATGGGCACAAGTCCTCATAACTAATTACCCCTCATGTATGACGATGGAGGCAAAACCAACCAATATATCATGATTCTTTCAATCCAATAGACCAAGTATGTTAATGCCAAAATGTTTCGAGGCACAAGTCCCAGCGAATCTAATGAGTAACCAATGGTTGTATCATCTCAAAAATCATGAACTTATTGAGGTAAAAAATGCATCGAAGATGTTTTTTCGATGATGACGTCAATTTGTTTGATGGCAAAACCTCATACCAATTTGACTAAATAAATTAGAGTCACAAAGCATGCCCGCTTGCAATTCATAAGTACTATACATGGCTAACCTGAGCTGAGTGGCATTGCATGAAAATTAATAATTCACAAGTTTTAAAATGACTCAAACAAATAAGCCTAAAACACAGATGGGGTTGATGGATTTGTGTGATTTTAATTGATGGGATTGATTTTTATTGGTGGCTTATCAACATGAGGCCGGAGTGATTTTAAATTAGGTATGAGTATTCAATTATTGGTAGGCATGGATTAAGCAGAAAAGGTTATAACCATTAAAATGCCAAAACTAATTGGGATGGAACTTTTATTCATTGAAAGACCTGTTAGTATAGCTTACAACATCAAGAATAAGAAAAAATCAATAAAAGGTTACAAACTTATTTCAAATGTAATGATAAGGTTCAATTAATTAAGTTGGTATAATGAGCTTCATAGCTTCATGTTGGCCTGGTTGAATGATTCAAGGCTTAAATTCAATGCAAGGCATTACGAGGATGTGAGCATTTTTTATTGTTCGCATTAATGATTTATTTTGATTAATATGTTGATTGGTGTTTTATGTATTCATTGCAAGAAATATTCGTCTTATAAAGACCTACAAAGTTGCCACAAAATGAGCCCAATGAAAATGCTACAAGGCCAGCCTATTAATAAAGATGATACCACTCAAATGTTTTAAATTAGTAACATACTAAATCAACATAATTTGATGCTAAGAGATTGTGATGTTTATAGCAATCATTTTGCAAAACATTTTACGTTGCCCGGATGTGATTAGAGGTGCCCCCTCTATCAAGAACTCAAAAGTAAGGCCTTTAATACAAAGTTGAAATATGGATAACAAAATCTTTCGGTGAAAACAAATCAATAAAACCAACTAAAGTTGCAAAAGAACCAAATAGTGAGATTCAACTTGTTCAAACTAGAGCCCATTTCTTAAAATCATATTTGAGCTAAGTTTGAGCTCAATTTGAGTAGTTATGATTGTTCGCATACTTGGTTTGTTTTAAAATCGTGATCATTTGAAATTAGTTTGAGCTCAATTAAAAGTTTGAATCATATTGTGAACATCGAGCAATCACCAAGTAGATTATTTAGAAATCCTTCTTCAAGACAATTCTACTGAAATGCTTGTAAACTAACCAAATGAATGTTATCTGACATAGCTTTTTACTTGATTGAATGCTCTTATTAACAAACAAAATAATTGAACAACTTAATAGACAACTAAACAAATCTTATTGAGCAATCATGAAACAACTTGTTTCAAAAGAAAATGTGAGTTTTATTGAGCCCCGATATCGATTTGCATGTAAACTAACTAAAGGAGCCTTATAAGCATGGCGTGTTTGCTAAGATGATGACATTATCAAGCCCATAAACAAGCAAAATTGTTGAGTAGCTTATTAGTTAATTAACTAAGCGTTACCGAGCTTATTAACGAGTAACTTTTCGAGGAATAAAAACTAGACTTTAAAAAATGAGCTGCCAATTAAACAACTAAAAAAACATTTCAATAAATAGCATGTGCTCACAAACAAACAAAGAATCAAATAAAAAAAGATAAATAAAAGCAGGTCTCCCACAAGTTTTCTTTTTCTTCCTATGCTCCGTAAACCTATGCATAGGTATTTTACATTTGGATGACTTGAGCATGGACTGCGATAGATAACTAATGAAAATATTGCAAACATAGACATGATGAGCACAAGAACAAACATTAATTAAGCCGTGATTTTAGCTTGCTTGCATAAACTCCTATCAAATTAAACTCCAAATTACACATCTTATTTTTATGTCAGTTGTTCTGAAGAAACGTCCCCGGTACAGAGCATCAAGCATTAATAACACGTAAAAGGAACCTGTGGACAATGCAAGGCTGTAGATTTTTCTATCTTTAGGGCTAACCAATATTTAACCTAAATCTTGCTAGACGGTCATTTTGGACAAAATAAAGCCGCGATTTGATCAATCCGTATTTCACGGACTTCAATCTTAAATCCCGGATTCACTGAATCCCGTGAATCGGCGGATTTAGTAAATCCGGGAAGAGCGAAGAGAAAGAATGGAGTGAACAGTCTTACCTTCCTCAATGGTTTCGGGAGGGAGCGGAGCGGAAGAAGCAGAAAGACGGAGTTTCGTTGGTCTCTGTACGCCGCAATCCCGTCGTTGCCTTCCAAGCTAACTCCAATTGCGACTGAATCGCGAGGGGTTCGACCACGAAGGCGACGGTTTGGACGAAACAGGAGTATCAGTCGAATTTACGGAGTCCAATGAAATCAATCACACCTCAAATCCTATTATTCATATATTATTATATATTATTTAAGTGTTATTGATATATATATATTATATTTTATTTAAGTGTTATTAATATATTATTATGTTATTATAGTACCAAATATATTTATAAAACACAATAACACAAATAATATATAATAACACTTGAATAATATGAGAGAAATATTTCCTTATGTTACGGAACAGGACGTGCGGGAAAGAGCGAAGCACCAGAAGAGTGGAGTGATGTAGGCCAGACTTAACTGCGAAGTTTTAATTTATCTTTATTTATGTTAGTTTTATCAATTAAATGAATTGATAATTAATAACCAATTTATGTGTTAACCCATTAAATATAATTAAATAAATTAATATTTATCATTTAATTGCTAATTACTCAAAAAAATATTTAACTTTATTTATTCAATTAATTTACAAGTAATCATTAATTAATATAATTAATAACCATTTTATTATTACTTTATAAATGTTAAACTGCTGTTCAGTAAATCGTTGATTTAGTAATTTTTTTATTGATGATAAATTAGTTTTGTGAATGTATATTTATTAAGCACCATTTTTTCAAATAAATTTTAATTTAATTTATTTGAATTTAATAAACAATTTTATTATTGATATACCACCAACAAATTTTCATCATCAGGCACGAATCTTGATGCAATTTTTTTGAACAAAAAACATTCAAACTTCGATTAAGAGTCATCCTGAACTCCAATTTCAACAAACTTATAATCAAACTGATCGGCTCGATGAGACGGACTTAATAATATGAAAGTCAGTACAATCCGAGTAAAATCAAGCCCGGATCAAATCATTAAACCACTATTGGAGGATTTCTGAATGCATTTGAAAAGTCAAATGGATGTTGAATCTAGCGAGTTCAGTGTCAAATCGAGTGTCTCGATAAGACGAATCCAACGAGCCCAATATTGCTCAATTCTGACATAGTTAAGGCACTCGAATGTCCATCAAACATCATCTGATCAAATTGAGCTCTTCGGACCGTCCGATCAAAATGGTTCATATTCCTGTATTAATTGCACTCAAAACACTATAAATAGAGTCTCACCCCTCACATGAAGGGAATGAGGTTTCAGAGAAAACTTGAGACTTTGAAAAGAAGCTCAAGTCCAAGATCATACTCGTCAACATACTCGTCACCGTCGATCGTCTTCGACCACCACTGACCGTCGACAACCACTTCTGACCTCCGACGACCACCGCCGACCGTCATCGACTGTCATCAGCCGTCGCCGACCTCCGTGGACCACCGTCAACCGTCATCAATCGTTGTCAACCGTCGTCGATCACCGCCGACCTCCTTCAACCACTGCTGATTAGACATCGTCAGTTGACGTTGTAATTTGGAAAGCTAATAATAATTTCCCATATGTGGGACAAGGGGCATCTGCAATCCTCAACTTATAGTGAATTTTTACAAGTTGGTCAGGCCCCGTGATTTTTCCCCTTTACGTATTTTCCACGTAAAAATTTCTTGTGTTATTACAGTTTGATTCATTTTCATCTGAGTGTGTGTTGAATCCTCGCGCAACGCTAAGGCGATAATCAATTACTCTACCGCCACAAATTTTCTAGCACGCATCAATTATAATAGTAAAATAATTATGATTTAATTATAATTTTTTTTCTTACTAACATAACAATCTTCTAAACCTAGAAGTCGTCACATGATTTAACTAGATTTAATAAATCATTTCCAAACAATTTATAGAATTTAGCTGCCCTTAATTTGTTAAATATAAGTTTGTAGGTTTTACTATATTCATTCAAGTTGAAGCTATAATCTCTTGTAAATTATGGGTGTAAGCGAGTCGAACACGAGCGATGCTAAGCTCAACTCTTGTTCGATTAGTTAAAAAAATATCATTATTCGTATTCGGCTCGTTGTTTGCTTAGCGTGTTGAACACGAGCTATTAAAATTTTTTTAAGAAAAAACTAATTTGACAATCCTAGGCTATTAGGGGTGTAAACGGGCCGAGCTCGAGCAGTCTATACCTATCTTGTTAAAATATATCATTATTCGTGTTCCACTCATTTTTATATCAAACTCAAAAATTTGTTTGTGTTTCTCGCTTGCTTATCGAGTTGAACATAAGCTATTCATGAACAATGAGCTATTTTAACAACTCTAATCACATAGTCATATGATGTTAGGGTAGGGCGAGATTTAAATCATGTTATTCATATTAACATATTCATTTAAATAGAATTATTTAATTATTAAATATTAAATATTATTTTATTCTATTTTTAATTAGCACTTCTACTTGATTATAAATTTTTGAATCATTGCAGTCAATTAAATTATTTAAAATAATGCTCGATATATATATATATATATATATATATATATATATATTTATTTCGAAAGTCAAACGCGAACGAACGACACTTTGTTCATGTTCGACTCTTTTATATATTAAGCACAAAAAAGTGTACGTGTTTGGCTCGTTTGCTTAGCAAACGAATTGAACACAAGCTATTTAACGAGCCGAGCACAAATCGTTCGAGAACAATATACTATTTTGAAAGCCCTACCTACGACCACATGAGCAAATGGCCATTTGGTATCTTTATGAAGAATTTATTTATTTATTTTTTTTTTGTTTTGTTTAAGAAAATATAGCAAGCTTGTGAATACCTAACGGGCTAAACGAAAATAATCATAATAAATAATAATCTTTGAGATCTCGAGAACAATGAGAACAAAAGAGCAACACGAGCTACAAAAGCAGCGGGGGAGGTGAAGAGTAAGGGTTTTGTGCTTTAGGATTTTGTTTAGACTTTCATGTTGTGCTACCCAAAATAATATATTTTGAATACATTTAACACTTTAACCCTCATCGCTCCCACGGATTCAGTTAAGGGTGAGTTTGGGGTGGCGGTGTGGCCTCGCACCGTAATTTTTTTTGTTTGACAAAACTATTTTTTGTCAACATTTTTAAGAAACTGTAGCTAAAAGCTGTGTTTTCTCATCAAACTTAGCTACCTATGGTGACTGCTAGAAATTTACGATATGACTTTTAAAAAATATATATTCCTTGTAATTGCCACCACAACTTTTTGAACGGTAGCTTCTTTTTTAGCAGCTTCACAGCTACTTCTTCAAACAGACCTTAATTTTCCTCGTTTCGACAAAATGATGTGCTCAATATCAACTATATTATTTCTTAAGTTATTTTAAATTTGAAACACTTTCAACCAAACAATCATCTAATGATAGCAGATATTGTATAGCTATATATATATATATATATATATATATATATAATCTTCAAATAATCATCATTTAAAATTTAAAATAAATAATTTATGAAATAGTTGAAGCTTTAAATGCATTCATCATCAAATCCTAAATGAGCACTATTGGATCCCAATGTGCCCGCGAGTTACTCTTGAACCTTATTAATTCAAATGAAAAGTGAATATCTAAAAATACAGAAGAGATGTGTTTCATAAACATTATCCGCTGAAATGGATTAGATAAATTACAAGCACAGAATAAAAGAGGGTAAATAGCAAGATTGGTCGAACTCTGGCCTCTTCCCATCACCCTCTTATTATGAGTAATAATCTAGAGCCTAAACGTTATAACAATTGATGCAGAATAATCAATGCATATAAAAATGTCAATAATGCAAGAGATTTGTAGTTTTTATAATGGCATGGACTCGATCAAAATAATCAGCTCTTTATGAGGTTACTTTATACTCTAGTCAGCCAAGTAGGAAGCGTGAAGTAATCGGTCTTTTCGGTTCGTTTAATCCACCAAGTTAGACAAAATGAGGGAGTTTTCTTATCTCCGCTAATATGAGCTGAGTATTTCTCGTGTTCGTGAGTGGCTTGATCGTTCTATATGGAAATAGAAAATAAGTTGTTCTTAAGATTTAGTTGGTGCTTCTTTTTATAATGGGTTTTTGAATCTTACTAACGCGCAGATGTCTCAAGCATAAATGGCCTGGTTCATGTGAACCCAACTATGAAATTTGTGTGGAACTAGGCTAGCTGCTTGTTTTGTTTCTTTGTTATCCGTTTAGGGCTATTTTGCTCTCTTAAGGTAGCAATTACACTATCATTAACTTCTTAAACGAGCATTGATGTTTCATCAACAAATTGTTATCATTTAACATGAATCTCGAGGCAAAATTTTGAATTATGAATATTTTAATACAAATTAAATATCATTAGTACTTTGATTCTCACAACTTTACAGTAAAACTGGTCATCTTGACAAGACAAACCCGATGATACAAAAATTGATCAAATTTAAGTCCAATCAAGGCCAAATCAAACCATTAAAGCCCATTTGAAAGATTAAATTGGTAAACAAACTCTAAATTTTACATATCTATAGTCAAATCGAGTCTCTCGTTGAGAAGAATCAAATGAGTCTATGATCTTGTAATTTTGAGGTCGTCAAGGCCCTAAAACCATCAAATAAATATCATATGATCCATGGATATCAATATGGGTCATCTGATTAGGTTGCTTGAAGTGATATGTGCTAATTGTTTATTTTTTGAGAAAGGCAAAATTGGGTTAATAATTTCAATTTTCTAAAAAAAATACATTATTGATATGCCAGTAACAAGTTTTCGTCATCCAACACGAATTTCGAAGCATAACATGGATCCTGAGATAATATTTTGAGCAAGAAAAGTTCAAATATTAATAAAAAGTCATCAATAGCTCCAATTTTAGCAAACTTATAGTCAAACTGACTGGCTCGATGAGACAGACCTAAAGATATAAAAACTAGTCCAATCCGAGTCAAATTAAGCTCAGATCAAGTCATGAAACCACCATTGAAAGATTTCTGGATATATTTGGAAGGTTAAATAGATGTCGACACTAGCAAGTCTATACTTTAATCGAGCGTCTGGACAAGACAAATCCAACGAGCCCAATATCACTTAATTACGACATCGTTATGCCACTCAAATATTCATTAAGCGTCACATGATCGAAGGAAATTCTCTGAACCATCCGATCAAAATAGTTGATATTTCTGCATTAATTGCACCAAAAACACTATAAATAGACCCTTACCCATCACATGAGGGGACCCTGAAGTCTAGAGGGAAAGTCTGAGAGAAGCTGCAGCTTAGCATCACTGCCGATCATCATCGGCCATCACCAACCTTCATCGTCAACCGTCGTCGACTGCCGTCGCCGACCACTGACCTCCGACG